ACGTGAGACGTCTGCTTTAGCCAATCACAACAGTCAGACGCGTTTACGTCCGTGCGGTTTGTGAGAATAAAAGCCTTTGAATATTTTTCCAGACACATTTAGCTGCTAGAAGTTAGTCAGATCACGTTTATATGTTCTTCTTTATGCCAACTGTGTAAATAATCATCGATGAGATGCTTATGATAAGTCGTTGTTTGTTTACCTTCAAGCTTTGCGTGTGCCTGTGAAACAGCCTGTGAGCGCCTGCACACGCACATATTATGAACATCTCGACATGCGAAAGTGAAGAGTTGTTCACAATATTGATCATCCACAGAGTTTGTAATTTAGTCAAATGTTTACAAATACAAGCACAGCCGTTTAAAGCTCATCTGTGGTGAATGATGTCAGAATTTACCGGTATTTTGGAATGGATGTGTGAATGCTCTTTTCCGGAAAATTTCCGTAACGTCCTCGCCTGTGTGAACAGCGCTTTTTTCAATATACCGGTAAAGTCGTTCCGGAAATTTTCCGGATATTTTCCGGTATCACTGTGTGAAAGGGGCTAGTGTGTGCAAGGCTGAGGTTAGATACACAGTAGTGTTGAGAAGTTCAGATCTTTAACGTGAACCGGATCTTCTGTTTCAATCCTTCCGTGTTAGGCCTAAACACTGTAAAAAATGCAGGATTCCACACAATTCAGTCATGTTGTCCCAACACAAATCCATTAAGTTAACTTAACACTTTTTATCACATTAGAGAATTAACTAGAAAGCATGGGAGCAGAGAGAGGGGAGGGATCGGCATAGGCCCACAAGGCGGAATCGAACTCTGGTCGCCGCACTTACCACTACACCACTGGCGCCGACATTAATATTATTTTTAACTGAGATGTCTATCCATCAGTTCCAAAAAATAAACACAAAATTGATGTGGCACGGTGGCTCAGTGGTCAGCACTGTCGCCTCACAGCAAGAAGGTCACTGGTTCGAGTCACGGCTGGGTCAGTTGTCGTTTCTGTGTGGAGTTTGCATGTTCTTTCCATGTTGGCTTGGGTTTCCTATGGGTGCTCCGGTTTCCTCCACAGTCCAAACGCATGTGTGTAAAACATCTGCTGAAATAGTTGGCGGTTCATTCCGCTGTGGCGACCCCTGATGAATAAATGGACTAATCCGAAGGAAAAAAAAGTAGTTGACAAAAAGATTCAATCCAGTTATTCTCCTATAAACCCTATACAGTACACCAGGGGTGACCAACCCTGTTCCTGGAGAGCCACCTTCCTGCAGATTTCAGTTGCAGCCCATATCAAACACACCTGCCTGTAATTATCACGTGCTGTTCAGGCCCTAATCAATCGCTTCAGGTGTGTTTGATCAGGGTCGGAGCTGAACTCTCCAGGAACAGGGTTGAGCACCCCTGCTATACGTTGTATTTACAGGTCAGTCATTAGCACAAAAGGTTTTCTGTGTTGTCAGCTGAGCCTCTCGGCCCTGTTTCAGTAAAGCGTGCTCTATATGACACAGCTATTAGCGTGTGTTAATTCTGTAAACTAAAACTGCGTTCTTCTGCTGAACTGTTGTGGAGTGTGAAACAATGGCGGCGCCGAGTTGCGTTTGGCCCCGGCCGCTCAGAGCTGATTCTCACAGTGATATTTTTGGCGCCGTGATCTGTCACGACAGCAGGAAGCCGCTCCATTGACCTTTAAGGCCATAAAGATCACATAATGGCTGGCATTGAGGAAAATGAAAAGTGTGTCTGAGTGTATTGAGCAGTGACAAGAAACCCGCTGCGCTGGAGCTCAATACGCTCTATAAGGAAGACTCGGGCGGGCTGCAGAGCACAGACCCGAACACTGACAGAGTTTAATCAATCTACATTTCCCTCATTGGTTGCAGGCCAAGAGCTTTCCGGAAGGCGCGCCTAGAGGTTTTCTTGTGCTGCGAGACTCGCATCTTTTGTAAATTCCATCTGGTTTAGACTTCATTAGGCAGCTTTTAAAAACAGAGTGCATCATGGGAGGATTTATTGATCAACATAACCACGGAAAAACACATTTGCTGCAGTACAGGGGCCGGATCAGGCTTCAGGTTAGTGTGCACCAATCCGGATCAGGTTAGCCTTGAAGTTTAAGCATTCTAGTTTTTACTAGAAATATGTTAGCAACATGCTAAATCATACTAGAAACATGCTAATTTATGTTAGCAACTGACTAGCAACTACTCAGAACACCTTAGCAACCGCCTAGCAACTCCTTAGCAACTGCCTAACAACCACTCAGAACACCCTAGCAACACACCAGCATCCACCAAGCAACACCTAAGCAACTACTCAGAACACACTAACAACCACCTAGCAACACCTTAGCAATCACCTAGCAGTGCCTTAGCAACCACCTAGCAACCACTAAGAACACACTAACAACCACCTAGCAACACCTTAGCAACCACCTAGCAATCAATCAGAACACCACAGCAACACCTTAACAATGACCTAGAACACCTTAACAACTAATTTAGCAACCACCTAGCAACACCTTAGCAACCGCCTATTAACCAATCAGAACACCCTAGCAACACCTTAGCAATGACCTAGAACACCTTAGCAACAGCCTAGCAACACCTTAGCAACTACTCAGAGCACCTTAGCAACCACCTAGCAACACCTTAGCAATCATCTAGCAATGGCATAGTATCCACCTAGCAATCACTAAAAACACCCTAGCAACACTTAAGCAACACCTTAGCAAAAACCTAGCAACCAAGCAAAACACCATAGCAACACCTTATCAACAACCTAGAACACCTTAACAACTACTTTAGCAACCACCTAGCAAGGCCTTAGCAATCACCTAGCAACCAATCAGAACACACTAGCAACACCTTAGCAACGACTTAATATACCCCATCAACAGCCTAGCAACACATTAACAACCACATAGCAACACTTAAGCTACTCCCTAGCAACATCTTAGCAACCACCTAGCAACACCTTAGCAACCACTTAGCAGCACCTCAGCAACTGCATAGCAACTACTCGGAACACCTTAGCAATCGCCAAGCAACACCTTAGCAGCCACTCAGAACACCCTATCAACCACCTAGCAACACCTTAGCAATCATCTAGTAACACCTTAGTAACCACCTAGCAACCAATAAGCACACCCTAGCAACCACCTAGTAACACTTTAGCAACACCCTAACAACCACCTAGCAAACAATCAGATTACCTTAGCAACAACCTAGAACACCTTAACAACTACTTTAGCAACCACCTAGCAACACCTTAGCAACCGCCTAGCAACCAATCAGAACACCCTAGCAACACCTCAGCAAAGACCTAATAAACCTTCGCAACAGCCTAGCAACACATTAACAACCACTTAGCAACTTTCTAGCAACACCCTAGCAACCACCTAGCAACACCTTAACCACCTAGCATCACCTAGCAACCACCTAGCAGCGCCTAAGCACCTGCCTAGCAACTATTTAGAACACCTTAGCAACCACCTAACACCTCGGCAACAACCTAGAACACCTTAGCAACCACTTAGAACACCCTAGCAGCCACCTAGCAATATCTTATCAAACCACATAAAACACCACATAAAAACACCTTAGCAACAGCCTAGCAACACCTTAACAACTATTCAAAACACCTTAGCAACACCTTGTCAACCACTTAGCAACCACTCAGAACATCCTAGCAGCCGCCTAACAAAACCTTAGCAACCACTTAGAACAACCTAACAACAATTCAGAAAACCCTAGCACACCTCCTCTAGTGGATTTAGGTAAGAACAGCGTGCATGAATGGCACCCGTGAGAGAAAGTTGAGATCTTAAAAGCGTACACAGCGGCCTCTGGTGAATTCACAAAAGCAAAAACAAAAAATTTTGCAATTTATAGGCAATAATACACATATATGCAAAAAAAAGTATCTCCTGGGACATATTTGGGGCTCTTCAGAAATGCATACAAGGGTACGTTTCAGAATGAGCCTGAGTTGGGTTTTAGTTAGGTCATGCAACATACAGAGCAAGGTTTTTTATTCACACACTGGAATTTTGTTGTTCATTAAGATTCAAAGCCACAGTAAAGTCTGCTCACTGTCTGCAGCTTAAAAAAAGCAGCATGTGAAAGGTTAATTAAATTGAACATCAATACTGTACTGAATCACACCGCTCAGCAGAAACAAAAGCGAGTCCAATGACATATTTTCTCAGAGGAGTTATTGTTATAGCTGTTGTGTGGATTTCCCTCACAGGTTTACAGTAGATAAGACTATAAATAGTTATAGGTGTTAACAGGTTTTTAGTCTACGGCATCTCAAGAATCATACCGTCTAGCTGAGCTACTGTACTAAAGTAAGTCAGAGCTTTTCCTGACGTGCCCTGTAAAACAAGCACTGACGTCCTCGTATTATGTACTTGGCCTAATAGTAAAAAGGAATTGATTTATTCCTGTAGAAAGCAGCATACTTCCACAGAGCGCTCCCTCCCCGCGCTCATCTTTGACTTGTGTGAGATTTGAGCAGAGCAATAATAATAATGCCGAGCGCCTGGACAACAATGTCAGAGCGCGCACTATAAAAAGCTCAGCCGGCCCGAGCGTCTGAGGAAGAATGCTGTGCTTTTGTCACACATTTCCGCTCCTCAGACACTTTCCTGGAAGCTTCCCGTTGCTTCCCGGGCCTGGAAATAAACTGGCAGGCGTTACGAGCTAGCAAACAAAGCCCTCAGAAGGAGAAATCAATGTCTGCAGAAACCAATTATGACATGCATGACTCTAACATCCTACAGAAGTCATGCGCTTTTATGAAGGAAGCCATTTAGATTTAAAAGTGCTAGTATATATATATATATATATATATATATATATATATATATATGTATATATATATATATATATATATAGGG